CTGGGTGGAATGCTCGAAAGACCGAGTATAGTGAGTAAATAAGGAGCCGAGCGCGGTACTGCCGACTTATTCACTCACGCGCAAGCCAGCAGTCACGGCGATGCATCATCGCTCGCTGCTGCGGCCGTCGACGTTCTCTGCTGCTTCCTCGACGCTAGTTTTTTTCCGGCGAAGTCTGCCCAACTTACTGTTATTTTCAATTTATTATTTATCGTCCCTTCGCTTTCATCCCTGACGTTTCTCATGGAGGTGCGAGTAACTTTTATGTCCCTTATACGTAAGCCCTCGAGCAGCGGCCGCGCACAATTAGTTTCTAGCCCCCGAGAACTTTCTTTTCTGAAGCCAGACGAAGCCCGAGCAGGCCGCCGTAGTTAAGGCCAGCCGCCGTAGTTTGGTCCATTAGTGAAACAACCAAGGAAGAATTCGCCGAACCTGGAGATGTTCGCCCGGCCGAAAGCCGACCGAAAGCCCTGTTTCTGCACCCACGTGGTGTTCCTGCCCGTCGCACCTGGTACGCCAACGCCCTCCCACAGCGCTTATCAAAACGTCAATGACTGGACGCTGCAGTACAAGGGAACTACGCAAGGTGGAACTCCATCAAGTGTTTGCGACCCAGTAGCGACGAGAACGCTCTAAGGAACTACTTCAGGCAAGGGTTTAAGGCCCCTACAGGAGCGTCGTCAGTTTCATCGATGATTTTCTTCGGCTCAACAAGCGAGCGGATCCCCAAGCTCCTGAAGCGAAGAAGCTGAAAATCCTCATGCAAAGAGTAAAAAAAAAAAAAAAAAAAACATATTTTTGAGGTTTTGTGCGCAGTTCACCGGCAACCGTCGAACAGTTTGTGACAGAGGTCACAAACATGGAACGTGCTGTCCAATCACGAGTCTCCCACTAGTGGCGACTACCTGACGGCGCTGCATTTTCGTCGTCAAGCTGCTACTTAGGCTCCACTACATCGGACATACGCGAGATCATTCCGTACGTCGTCCGAGAAGAGCTCTGGAAGCTGCTCCCTGCTGCTGAGCGCCAGCGGCCTCCTTTTCAGCCGCTGAAATCGTACGCGACAAGGTCCAGCTGGCCTTGCAGCCTGAAAGATCCGTCGACGTGCCAGCCCCCGAAGAACTGATGCTGTCCTACGCCACAATGGCCCGCCGATAACCGCCGCCCGCTCGTCTATGTGGGGCACCTCCACGTCATGAGCATCCAACACCGCAGTACTGGAGACATCGCGAAGAACGGCTACACTCCTTCCGCCCGGAACAACCAGCACCCAGGAAGGCTATCATTGTGGAGGACGGCCGACCGACGCCCGCTGTGATCACTGCGGGTAAGCGGACAACACTTACCGACGATTCCCGTACCGCCAGCTAACCTGCGAGGGTTTGCGCCAAACGACCCTCGACCACGCCTTGGGGAGTGACTACGGGATATTGAAGACTACCTTCGCCACTGGACATCGGCTGTCTCCTCACCGAGGATAACGCTTGCCTTCACCTTGACGCCCTGCATTCACTCTTCGTAGGTCCCGCCGGAAAAACCTTCTCCTTTGCCTCGCCCAAAAAACCAAGTACGGCGATACCGGGAAGTGCTATTACCGAGGACGAACGACACGAATATCCTCTACAAACGAGAAAGGGCTCCCGCACTAACTAACGACGCAACGGATCGGAACGACGCTCCTGCGACGAATAACCTTGACGTTACCATCGACGGCCATGACGCGACGGCACTTATCGACACCGAAGCAGACAATTCTGTTTTGATTGGTAAGCTCTCTTGCCACCCTCGGAAAGTGGTGACGCCGTGTGATGGCCCGCAAACAGGAACCGCCGGCGGCCATCACATCAATCCGGTGGGAGGGTGCACTCCACGCGTGGACATCCACTGGCAGACATGTCCAGTGAAGATCGTCGTCATCAAGGACTGTTGAAAAGACGTCATTCTTAGAATGAACTACGTGAATACGGCGCCGTCATCGACACTGGAGCGAACAGGTTGACTGTGCGAGAATCCATTCGTACGTGGTAAGATCGCGATGCGACGTCAGTCGCGGTTAGACTTGTTGCGGACCTTGTGAACCTGCCACCGCTGTCTTTTTGCCGCTCGGAATCGCAACAACTATCTGCGGTGGAGTTCTGTTCAAAAGGAACGCTCAACTGCTCATGGGAAGAGGTATCGGAGTTCCTAGGGTGTAACGGAGCTCAAGGACATGCGCATTATATCTTGTGACGAACTTCCGAAAAGAACCACAGTACCTGACAAAGGAGACAACTGTGGGCCACGTACAGGAACTTCCAGACCCTTCCGCGATCGCCTCCATCTCAGAAGACTCCTCTTCATTACTGCACAAGAGGACACCGCCTTCGGAGCTTCACATCGGAACCTGTCAGTGAACTTAAATGGATTGTCCGGTCACGTTTTGTATTCGAGAAAACGATTGAATATCATTGTTATTGCCTCGAGACCCATCGTACATGCAATATCTGAATTTTAAATGCCCCCCTGCATGAGTAACTGAATTTATATTGCTCCAATCACACTCTAGCGTTAACGCTGCTTTCGGTGGCAACATTGAAGCTCTGACGTCACACAACACAAAGCAAGCATTTCTGTCTCGTCGTTTACCTGCGAGTGAACGCCTCAGCGTGCGTTACTTTCGTTGTTATGCTGGACTTGTTTCGTGGTTGGGTGAGGTTTTTGTTGCGTGGTTGGGTGCCACAACCACCGGCACTACATGCGACCCGAGACATGACGTTGCGCACTTTTCCGCGAGACGTGCACTGAGGAGCAAAATGGACCGTCGCCGTGCGTAGGGACTGGGTTCCCGTCAAGATTGAGATCCCGCTTATGTAGCAATCATCTCACTGGACAGAGCTACGAGCCGAGCTCTAAGCGGGCAGAAGGCTCGTAAGCTGAGGTGTGATGCTGTGCCAACGATATTAAACTTCGTCCATCCACTCCTCGCCCAAATCAGATCAATCAATTTGATCATCTAGCGAAACCCAAACCAACAGACATGCCACCTGGAAACGATACCAGAAGTTGTATTTAGCACGCGTGCAGTCAAATTCTGTTTGACCCGCATGTGAAATAGAGCGTGGCTACGATTAACCAAGCTCGCCCAAGTCAAGTGACGACATTCATTTGAACGATTCGCCGTTTGCCTTTGACCCGTGGACATCGCCTCTGAGGGAACGTCCCGCAGCCTCATCACCGATCCAATGAATCAGCAGAAATGCGTACCCGGATGCCGCTTCGTGTACCTAGTGTCCGCTTCAGAGGCGAAATCTGGATCCTTTGCTTTGCAAGCGCTTCTAGTTCGACCGGCGGCCGTCGCAGTTTGCTAGAAGCTTATGGCTGTTTTCGAGTAATATCCTGCTAAAAGGCGTGACTTTTTTTGCAAACGCTTGGGAATTGCATTAAAAGAGCCGTATTTCAGCAGGGTACAGACTAGGAGACCATATAATCCGAAACAAAATACAAGACATCCATCGACCGACGCTTGTTATCCCGACCATCCGAAAAAACCTTTGCGTTTTCTGACGTCGCGCAGCAGCTACGGATGTCAGCCGTTGACACTGGCGAAATTCGGGGTGCAGCTTCGTACATACGCGCATGAAAGTTTGATTAATAAGGGGAGATCATATATAAAAATAAAAATGACTTTTTGTACATGAAGGCTCCCTCGACGTAACGAGCGCAAAAACTTAAGCACTTCCGGTTTCGACCGGGCAATCGCTTTAAGGACAACAACGTGTCGACTCGAGCCGGTATAACCGTTGCAGACGTGACATTCATTTTCAACCGAGAGACAGAGTGGGAGCGTAAACACCTATACGACGTCCCGACCTTAGCGTGAAGCTCTTGGAGTGAATCTTCGACCATACAGTGTGCTCCGTCGCCTCGGAGACCTGAACTACGAGGTGACTCCAGACGGAACACGGTCGTCTGGACGCCGCAAGTCGCGAACCCAAGGGGCGCGAGTCTAGCGTCTTGTTTTGTGCTCGATAGGACTGAGGGCTATTTATAATACAGACGACCCCGCAGTTTACTCTTTGTCGATATTTGGTTTAGCTTTGTGTTAATTTATTTAAGGTTGCATGGGAGCAATGCGCTTTTAAAGTGGTGAGTAGTACCACGTGCCTGACCCCCAAGGAAGGAGTCTCCGTACATCTATAAGATTGGTATTTATTCATACCCCTAGTGTAAAAGATAAGAGAGACAATGACGTTGCCTAGTCAGTCTCGCCCTAGCTCACTAAGGACCTTTCTGCGTCGAATGTTCGAGGGACCGTGTATAGATCAGGAGCGGAGCGCGTTGCCAACTCATTCCCTCTCGCGCTAGTCAGCTGTGACGTCCCCGAATCGTCCCCTGCTGCTGCCATCGTCGACGTACGCTGCTGCTTTCTCGACGCTAGTACTTCCTTCTGTTTTTGGCACAAGTTTGCCGATTAACCCTTTAAGTTTATTATTCATCGCCTTTTCGCCTTCATCCGTGGTATCCGTGATGTATAGCCCACACACAAAACGAAGTAATAGCCTGTTATGCTCTTTCCCAAAGTTACCAAGATCAGAAATCTAGTGTAAATTGCAATTATCGGCTCTGCGAGAATTCGACGTGGAAACCTTGTATACTCTTATGATTTCTTGTTTCATATATCATCTTTATTCCAAACCTATTTATATTTCCCACAGCCGTAGGCACTCTCTCAAATAGTTCCTCAGTCTTTATGCTTAAAAAACAAAATTCGCAAAACACTTGGTAAGCTTCGAGCTTTAGTTGCTATAATGAACTTATTTTCAACAATCTGCCAACATAGATTGGGGTGCTAGTAAATTTGCTTTACAAGGACACACATGAGCAAAAACTTCTATTCCAAATTATTTATTCTCGTTGCTTTATTTGCGCTTACCGGTGCTTTGTTGACGGTTTTTGTTTTCGTAATTATTTTACATCTTGTGGTAATTATCTTATATCTTGACATGTTTCACGATATTTACCAAATCCCTGGGACCAATAATTAAAAAGTGACAGATGTCAGTCGTTCTGGAGTCCACCTTTTAACGACATATGTCCACGCACTCTCTCAACTCCGTGAGGGCTTTCTCGATGGCGTCCTTGAACTTGGTAGCGTTCTTCTCAGGGAAAGACTTGCTGCAACTCAGGCCGAAAATGAAAGATTCGGGTCGGATGTTGTACGTTACCATGTAGCTACCAGGAAAACTGGGATTTTCGAAAGTGCAGCCGTCGCATTGAAGATTCATCTGAGTGAAAGTAGGGACAACAGTCAGTCTTTTCGGGTAACAAGCACGCAATGGTCTACAAAGGCAATACCCGAAAGTATAATCGGAAAAGCTTTCAAGGTAAGTCAGCTGGCCAACTTCGGCACACTGGCACATTATCATGTACGTCCCATTGCCTGAGTTACGGGAGGTGAAGCTACTTAGGTAGACTTACCTCAATGATTGACGCGCTAGTCGTTGGCCAGCTTCCAGATTTGCTTAGCCAATATGCGTAAGCATATCTGAGAGCTGAGTAAAGCTTAGCGCACGGATTACTGAGGCATGTCTACGTAAGCTTTGGCTGCTCCTCCTCTTCCTTCCCCATAAACAATGCGGCATTACGTCCAATGACGTAATATCGGCCGTTGGCTTACATCACACACTTTTCCGAATACTCTTCCCAGACTAGCAACAATGCACTCGTGGTGCGGGTGAGCAATGTTACGAAATGGGGGTCACTTCTTGCCTCGAACAATGGACCTTTTTCCAGTAAGGAGTGCCTCATGACGGTTTCGCCGCCTACTACAAATGGAGGGCAGCCGGACTCGCCTTCTCCCGTAGGAGCAGATTAGTGTGGCAACAGAACAGTGCCCCCCGAGGATGGCGAAAGGGCGCTCAAGGTCAAGGGAAAGGGTTTGCGCGTGCGCAGACGTTTACTGGAAAAAGGTCCATTAAAGACGAGCTCTGCCGACTTAGAAGAACGTTCAAGCTGAACGCGTTTCTCCCTTTTTGAAAGAAACTAGTTGACAAGCAGCGCAAAATTTTCAGGGGCTTATTCATAGACAATGCGGCGCCGAACATGACGCAGCATCAAAATTCTCGTTTAAAGCCCTATCACATGAAAGCGTGTTTCACGCGTCTCATTCACGTCAGCGTCTCTCCGCGTCGGGGCGCGTCCCTCATAACCACTTTGAACAACCCAACCCATGCGAGGCGCCGATGCCTCTCTCGGGCGGGTCTCGGCGTCGACGCGGGAAGTGGCTTGAAGCAACCGGAAGCGAGGCCGGGCGCACCCTCTGAACGATCCGAGTCAGTCTTGAGGTAGTATAGATGCAGCAATGTATATGACTGTCTCGGGTTTTACAACTGTTTTCTTTAATGTACAAGGCGACATAATGAAGACTTATTTGTTTTTACCTGCATACGTCTAGGTGTCCCCACATGCTAATTCCTTAATTGATAAGTGTACGAACTCAACTTCAATAACGTAACGATCTTGCATGTGGTAATTCTAAGAGTGGTCTAAGGTGAATTGAGTAGGTTGTTTAACTTATAGAATGTAGTCGCCGAGCTATATCTCCGCCGGTTATGCTTTTTTTTCTTGAGTGATTTTTGGAAAAATACCGAATATATTGTTAGACATCAAATGAGCTCGACATACGTATCAAGTTCAGGATTACCTAATATACCTAATTCTATCAACTGTAAACAGCTAGCCGGAAGTATATTATCTCTGACAAGTTTTATTTAGATTTTTCTTAGATATTGGATATCAGTTTCAGGTATAATTTCGCACGTTCGTCCGAAATTTATTTTAAAGTCTAGTTCTTTCACTGGAGTAATACGCAAACTAGTTCATTAGGAAAGAAAAGCTCGCGAACTGAGGTAATTTTACGTGCGTATGCGCTTCTATGCTCAATGTCCTACAGAGGCTTAACATTTTGTGCCGTCCGAGCTTGTATCTTCATTACTCAGCGTTGGATGCGTAGTCAGAATAATATGAAATGCCCGGAGTAAACAAAAATCGCGTAGATATCGCAGTGCAGTTATCATTTGACGAAAGCACGCTGCAGATAGTGTGCTCATAAAGCAAGGGTCAAACTACTGAAACATCGCGTCTGCAAGGACTGTCCAATTACTAATCCTTGTATTACGACGGTGATGTCACATTAATTCCACAAACACTTCTGCAGATGCGTTCCAAGCGTGCACATGAATGAAGCAAACAAATATTGAACATGCTTCAGCAGGGCCCGTGGATCATTTTGTCATCATGCCAACAGAGAACATCCTCCCTACTTTAGTTTAGTGGGAAAATTGACATCACGTGACCTTTACCCAAATTCTATATCCCCACAAAATTAAGTAGGACATTGACGTCACCTAACCTATTCGTTAAATCAATCTTTCCGCTGGTTTTAGCGGATAAATTTATCATGGCACTTTTCTCACTAAGTTTAGTGAGGAAACTGGCGTCAGGGGACTTAAAGAGACACTGACAGGGTATTTATGTTCGCCATGGTTTTTATTTGTGCATTACATATGAGAGCGCAACTACCCAAAAAACAATTCGCGTCTCGAAACTGCTTCTTATTCCGCACGAAAACCACCGATCGTGAACTGGCCGGTTTGAGTCGCGCTCACTCTCTCCTCGGTGGTCACGTGCCGTGTTTTATCGTTTAGACACAACCACCAAATATAATGAAAGTCTTAGGTCTTCCAAGGCGCACACACAATATTAAAACTAGAAAAGAAATAAGATACCCATTTTTTGCGGCTTTTAGAAAGCTGCAAATATGTTGATTGGGGGAAAAAGAGTATCAGAGCCACGTGACTTCCGACGCCTCCTTTTTCCTCTATATTCCTTCTTCCTCCCCAGTCCAGCATTAGTTTCGGTTTCACAAGTTTCGAGCAGTTGCGTTTTTCTTAACTTTATTGAAAATATATGTGACGCTGTAGCAAAATATTCATTGGGTAGTCTTCTAACGCCCAAATAAATCGCCTGGTAAAAAAAAGTGTGTGTGTGTGGGGGGGGGGGGGGTGTCAGTGTTTTTTTTAAGCACCATTTGTTTCCCCTCTACGCTGAGCTGGAGAGGTGATGTCATGTGAGCTTTACGCCAATTCAGTTTTCCGGCCAAATTTAGCAGAAAAATCGACATCATATTGCATCTGCACAAATTTAGTTATCTCGCTAGATTCAATGGCTAAACGACCGCCTAATATCGTCTAAACAAAAATTAAACGATCGCTTCTTACGTACTGCATTCCGGACATTTTCAAGGTCTATCTGTTAAACTGTGCGAAGGCTTAAAAAAGAAAAAAAGAAAAAAAAAACTGAAGCAAGCGGTGCGCGTCGCAGTATTTTTCACAGTCCTATTGATCAAGTCAAGATATTATTTTAGGATGTGCCAAACTACCAATGTTACAAATATTACTTACATATTGCATATTAATTTTTGCACAAACCCTTTATTATCAATTCAGTAAAGTATGTTGAAAAGCATCCTATAGTGCCGCTTTCAACTTTCCATAAATGTAGTTTCGCATTTTTAAGGAAGTTTAAAAATCTTGCGGGAGATTTGACAAAAAGCAATATCATGTAATTACCCGTTAGCGAACTGTAATTTTAGCTTGGTTAACGACGTGCGGTTTTCGTTTCAAATCTTGTGGCTTTTTAAAGCTCAAGGTGTTTACACAGAAAGGCTACCTTTATGAAAACGACATGATTGCACGTTGCTAAACAAGGCACACACAATTTGTAGTCAAGGGTGCGCGCATAAATTATGATTAAAAATTTAGCTAATTAATCTTTCTTAATTAGACAGTTTCGCTCATCGCAAAGGATATCGTTGGTTCAACACGCAGCAGTTCTTTTTTTTTTAAGTCTTAGCACAAGTTAGTTAAAACACCCTATAGATCTTCTAAAAAAAGTTCACTGTCAATTGTTTTATTCTTTTATGACATGCGTAACATACGAAAACGTGACAAAAATGCATTTTGCAATACTCCTATCGTACCTGGCTGGCTATCAGATCCGCATGCCCAAAAACGCGGTGCTTGAAGAAAGGATGAATCGGGATCCCATCATCAAGGGCAATGCTTAACAACCCATACATCATCCGGTACACCGCGAGGCCGTTCGCTGCCTGTGAGGAAAAAATAACCCAAAATAAATTTTTGAATAATGCAATAAATGTGTTGTAATCCCTATATTTTAAATGGTATTCACAAATCGTTAACCACGCGAAATGTTTTCTTACTCCTCACGTACATGTCTACAATGCGCTCCTTTCAAACGTGGCAGCAATGTCATTAGTATTATAAAATTATGGAGAGATAGGAATATCAAAGACATGTTAAACTAGGGCAATCTGTGGGAAAACCGTCGCCTTAAGTGGAGCGTGACGGACACACCAGTGTGGGTCTCACCGGAAGGCAGGGAGAAAAGCGTTTGCTTAAAGATATCGCTAAAAGACCAGAAGTCACGAGACTCAAGATCAGGTAGATTTAAAGCAACACGCCATCAGGTTACTACGAGGCTACAATGCGAAGGTCACACGCTGAGGAAGTCAACTTTTTTTTTTAACTTAACCGGCAAGGCACGCAGATTCCCAACCTTCCTGCCGTCGTCAAGCAGGGTCAAGATGTCAAACTTCGACCATTGTGTCATGTTCTACAAACGACAGGAGTCTATGGATAATCTAAAATGCCTTGTCCAGAATTTATAATGTTTCTTCCGTAGCATTGGCCTTGGCAGGCAAATATGATTTTTGTAGTCGCGAAAGACGGGAAGAGAGCAGTTGGTTGCCAGTTGCGGAATGTCTTTTCTTTTTGTATTTTCTTAGGAAGTTTAGTCTCTAATAGGTAGCATACAGATGTCGCTCTTGTTCGTTGGGAAAGTACGTATCTTAGGAAGCTCTCGCCATCCTTTTAATTACATTTTCTGCACATCGGATATCTGACCCCCTCGTGCGACAACGTGTAATAACTTCGGATCTCAAGCTTTAGCATCACATAATGTCGATAGAACTGTCCAAAAATGCGTCAACTGGTGCTCTTAAGAAAAACAAAACTTGCCTGCGTCTGATCACAAGCGAAAAGTTTCATTTGATGACCTCTTGTGAGAACGAGCTGCCACGACCCGATTGAGTTTTTAACCAAGACTACGACTTTTCCAAAATTAGAGAGACAAAATTACGTCAGCCTTGAACTAAAATTTGTTATCATTGATTGAACAGCGAAACCGGCGATCCGACTGTCTTTGAGTCACTTCTAAAGTATAAGCTATTCACCATGTCCAACACGTTAGTCGCGTGTGCCAGTGGAGTGACTTTTTACTATAACACACTTACACGTGCATGTGCCTGTTGTGGTGAGAACTGGAAGATCTCAGTTTCAAACAAAATTGTGAAGGAATTACTGTCCAGAGGAATTGTAAAGTAATGTCAAAGTAACTTCACTACGTTTTAGATATAAGTATAATGTAATGATATTACGTCTAGTCTGGTTTAAGTTGCAATGCAATTGAATTATTTTTCAAAGTATTTCTGCCATATCCGTCCCTTTCGGACGGAGCGGTGAAAGGCATGTGTTGACCGAAACGTGACACACCCGTGAACCACTGGCGACATCACGTGCTGTGCACATTCCCAACCGTCCGTCTTTGGAATTTATTTGACAGGAATGACTTCGTTCCTTGAACGCTGTAAAAAAACACGCCTTTCCCACACTGTCGTGGCCAGGCGCAGGTAACTGGGAATTGGAAGCCGCCCAGACCTATACTCTGTTTCACCTTATGTTGTACTGCAGCAAAAGCTAGAAGCGCAAGCTCATAGCGTCGGCAGCTGACCTCAGTGCTCGAGAGCTTGTGCCGCTGAGATCTGCCCCAGAGCAAGGAGCTCGCGCTTCTAACCTTTCCTGCGGTACAACACAAGGTGAAACAGAGTATAGATGCGATCGCAGTCCCGCTGTTTCCGCCAAGGCGGCGACTCTGAGAAGAAAATATACCTGAACGGAGTAGGTTAAAACCCCTTGATACAATTCAGGCTCCACGTTTTTAGAAGTCCTCTCGATCGCGTTCCGGGTGAGCAAGAAATTTGAAACAAATCAGTGCTTTATAGAGAATATGATGGCTTGTTCAAAAACGCCTCGATCCAAGAAGTACGTTTCAATAGGGAGACAAAAAAAAAAACAAAGAGTAGCAATGCACCAGTTTCTAGCAAAAAAGCTGTTGAACTACCTCAACCATCCGCGCAAAGTGAAGATGCTTAATCAAGCGTCCACTTTCTTTCTTTGGTTCTCTGTATATTTCTTTTTGCGCTCTTTCTCGTGAGAAGCCAGGAGCTCGCTATTTCCAAGTCAGTGGATCTGGGAATGTACTAAGTAGCGCCATTGCCTTCCCACCTGATAGCCGGACACAAACAAATACCAACACGCAGACGACAAAACCTCTCAAGGTAATTGGCTCATCGCTGTTGGTTTCCATGGTGATCGCCATTTTTCACCCTTTCAAAGCTTCCAAGCATCGAAAGGGTCATTAAAACTAGTCGCATCAAGATCACTATGGAGCATAAACGTACTGAAAGCGTTTCTCGGTCAATATAAGTGTCTTTGGTTGTGTGAATGCTATAAACTTATCAATCCTGCTTCTTTCCCAGATCTCAAACAATTATTTTACTCTTCTTGCGTGCTTGAAGACAGCAAAATTGTTTTTTCAATGACCCCAAGCTGTGACGCCGCATGTGATGCCCTCCGTGGTCGTACCGCCATCACACGCAACGTCAGTGCTTGGAGGCATTAAGAAATAATTGTACTATTTTGAAACACGCAAGAAGAGCAAGATAATTGTAACAAATCTGGAGAGGTATGCATGAGTGATAAGTTTATTGCATGCAAAGTGCCAAAGACGCTCATACTGACCGAGGAACGCTTTCAATACGATGATTCTCTATAGCGATTATAGTGCGACTAGTTTTAACGACCTTTTCGAAGATTGCAAGCTTTGGAAGAGTCCACAATGGCGATCATCATGGCAACCGACAGTGATGAGCCAACAATCTTGAGAGGTTTGGTCGTCTGTATGTTGGTGTTTGTTTGTGTCCGGCTAGCAGGTCGGAAGGCAATGGCACTAATGATTATACAATTAAATACAAAGGCGCAAGCGAGCTGAACAAGAAAGACGAAAATGATACCTGCAGAAGTGAAACTATGGGGACAAAGGACAAACACAAATATCCAAACACAAATAAGTGACTGGAGCGCGACCGAAAAAATACGCTTAGTCTTGGAATTGAACCAGGGACCTCTTTTTGTATTGTTTTATATAATGCTATACCCCCTGAGTCAACCAGGGTTTTTCAAAAGTGATCCTTAGTAAAGCTCTACAAACACTGCGGGTGTGAGGTCGTGTTAGATAACGATATTCTTGAAGAACCTACAGCATAATAGTTACGCGTTTTTCAGCCACTGAACATTTTTCATCAACCTTAATAGGAGCGCTTACACACTTACGGAAACGGCGTCTTGTTTGCATCTTTCCACGGCTTTCCTTAAGCTCTGTTCTTTCTCTGCTTTGCTTGATAAGGGGCTGTCGAAGACCCTGCAGAACGATAGGCTGTCTTCCGAGGAGGGGTAATATACCGTAGCTCGTCCGTGAAGGAATTGGCGAGTCGAAGCCGTTCCGTACACGATGACCGGGGTGCCAATAGTCCTGGTAAAACAAATGGACTACTTACACCTTTATGTCCAAAACGATGATTCGTTCACCGCTCAACAAGCAGATAAGTCAGCAGTGTATCACTCAGTTAAAAAAGTTAGGATAAAATTTATACCGACATCACTTTGTAAGACTTTATGCGTAGGAGCATTACTCAGAAAGACCTTCTTTTTTGTCCTCCGGTTAACACGCAGCCCTCATGTGAGGAGAGAGCTTCTGGTAAACCTCAGAACGGCGTGCCGACGTTTCAGTGGGAGACCTAGCTTTTTCAGGGCCCTCATGTAATACATTCGAACAAACGTATTTAGTAGAATATACTTGAACTTAACTTAGTCGACTCTGTGAAGCGAACAAAGCTACTTTTGTAAGTATTCAATTTTTTTTTTATTTAAAAACACTGAATGCAGGGATGGATTTAATACTTATACAATTCTAAAATTCTTTAATTTTCCAATGCAATGGAAGAGGAGAAGTGGGACAGTCATGAACCATAACAAACATATTAAAAAACAGCGACTACTTAACCATTTGTGGGCCAACGAGATCGATAGAAATCACTTTCAAATCGGTTCCCATATATGAATGGAGCGCAGCACATAGAGGAGCGCAGCACATAGAATGAGGCTCAATGCGTTTGAATCGCTGGCCTTTATACTGCAGCCCAAATCCCCTGCTCTTACTAACAGTGACCGAAACGGTCAACGTGAGCACAACTTGCATAAATGGTTGTCAGTGTACTTCCTGGCGTGTGCTAACACTGTTTTGTCGAACTTGCTATTGGCACTGTCCGAGGACGTAAAGCAGGATCCCGGCCCTCTGCCACAGGCCCAGGCAGAATTGCAATAGGCCGCCAGATTATTCGCACGATTTTTTTACGGAACTTTTTGACGCACTTGTTTTTTCTTTCCAAAAAGTTTCCGAGAGCTAGTATGACACTTCTTGGTGATTTTAATTATCCACATATTGACTGGCTTTCTTTGTCGTCACGATGTGCTACGTCACATGGATTCATTGACACATGTTTAACGTTCAACTTAGTTCAAATGCTAAATAAGCCAACCAGGATTCTAGGTTCCTCTGGCAGCACCCTTGATCTATGCTTATCGTCTCATCCAGGCAACATCAACAGCATCCCATACCTCCTGGGGCTGAGTGATCACTTAATTATACATCTTTCACTGGAACTTCCCACATCCCGAAAATTCGCATACCATACATACATCATGGGTTATAACAAAGCAAACTATCGGGCAATAAACGAGGGCTTAGAATCGTTTTACTGTTCGTTTATGTCCATCTTTGACCAGTATTCAATTACTCGTCAGAGATCAATCATCAAGTTCGGGGTGGCTACCCAATGACTGGAAAGTAGGAGAAATAATGCCCATTCAAAAAACGGTGGTTCGGAACAAAATAATTAATTATCGCCCCATATTAATCACCCGTGTTCCTTACAAGCTTCTTGAGCAGATTATATATTCAAACATTATTAACTACTTGGAATCAAATTACTTGCTGTGTTACAACCATTATGGGTTCCGCAAAACGTTTTCCTGTGAAACCCAGCTGTTACGCTTTACGCAGGACCTTTTTTCTAACTAAATAACAAACTCAGTGATGTGATTGCTGCGCCAATCGCGCCAAACTACGCCGAGGGTCTAACCCTGATACATCCTGCTACATTTTGTCAAAATATGGGTAATCTGCGCCAAGCCTGCGCCAAAGTACCAACTTCGGTCGCCTTTCGAAACCGAAACTGAACTGACTATATATGTATACCGTAACTGAGCATGCGTGAGCTAGTTGGCGCTAGCGGCCGCCCAACACAAAATATCTGCACGCTGAAGTTGCAGAGTGCACTTGTTTGTCTCGAGTACAGCTGTTGGAGAAAGCTCTCCAAGAACTCTTTGATCCTGGCTTGCGATGTCTTGCATCGATGCGCTCAGTTTCTTTTTTCTGTGCGTTTAGCTTGTACCTTGCCCTGTTGGCCTGGCAGGCACATGCCGCTGGACTGTTTTTTGGCGTATGCTCGACAGTTATGTTTTGTATACAATTATCGGAACCGGTTGGCGACGGAGCGAAGTGGCATGGTTTCAGTTTTGATCGAACATGCCGTCTCCACTCGCGCGACGAGGCGCGTGCAACTGCAAGTAGTCGAAGTTAGCCTCACGTGCTTGCGAACATAATAGCACGAATGAGGAACCAGCCGGGACGCATGCAATCCATTGCTTTGCGTTTGCTTGCTTTTGAGGAAAATTTGGCATTTCTGGAACCAGTAAAACGGTGGCAAGCGTTTTTTCGGAATTTCTCGGCAAAGCCTACAGCACTGTACACTTGTGGGACGTCTCAATGTCTCTTTGGAGACATTGGAAAAGGGCACCATTACTTGCCAAAGGCAAAGCGGGGCTTGCAGCAGCCTTACAGAAAGTTTCGACAAGCAAAAAGAAAAGCACCCGCTAGTCGTAATGCACCTTTTTCTTGTGTACAATTTCGCATTGCACTGCAGTAGTTACGTGTTTCATCAGTGGGAGACAGCTTCAATTTATTATATTACATAACTAGTCAACCTAATGCTGTGATGTTCACTACGAAGCTGGCCACTTCCATATAATTATTAAATGTGCAGTTTGGTTCTGATTTATCTATACCAGGTACATATGTATGTATTATTTAACTGAAGCATTGCAAGATGTGTCATGTCATTGGCACTTCAGTTACATGTTTAACGACATCCAACTGAAATGTAAAATTATGGTCTCATGACCATAATTATTTTATTGCTGCGAGCAAAATGCCTTCATTTGTCCAGAACCTAAAACGAATATTTCTATTTCATTCGCTCCAAAAGCCACTTTTTCTGCTCCGAAACATTGTTTTGCCTGCTCCAAATACCACGTTTACTGCCCCAAAACACTGTTTTGGCTGGTCCGAAAGGTGCTCCGAAACGACTTAGGCCAATCACATCACCGCAAACTCCAAACTCACGCCATATTCATCGATTTCTCAAAAGCATGTAGAGGGGACCTCATCAACGCCTTATTAAAAAGCTACCTTCCCTTGGACGTTCCCCAAACATAATAGACGGGATCAGAGAGTTCCTCAAAAATCGCACGCATTATACAGTCATGAATAACAAAATGCCATGCAGGTCCTCTGTCACCTCAGGGGTCCCTCAGGGAACCGTGCTAGGCCACTATTATTCTTAACACACATCAATGACTTAACAAATCTTCTATCATCCCCCGTGCCTCTCTTCGCGGAGGACTGCGTCATTCACAGAGCCATCAAAACACCAAATGACCATAGAATACTTCAGAACGGCCTCAATATAATTGAACAGTAATGTTAAAATTTGCGGATGAGAATAAACATAGAAAAGTGCAAGTAACTCACATTCACTCGTCGAACCACCTCGTCTAATTTTTCTTACCAACGAGGTATCAATAACATTGGCCACTGCACATCATATAAGTACCTAGGTCTTAACCTCACCAGTGATTTCGCATGGAACAACCACGTTAACGAAGTTGTCCTAAAAGCTAGCCCAACACCTGGATACTTAAAACGTAACCTCAGGCTCTGTTCGCCCGAAATCAAAGGGCCAGCCTACACAAACCTGGTTCGTTCCTAAATGGAATATGCATCATCGATTTGGTCACCATATTAAAATTATCTCTCTAGCGAACTAGAAAAAATTTAAAACAAACCACTAACGTACAATCACTCCGACTACTACTCCTATACCCGTATCACTTCAGTTTGTAATCGCGCTGATCTCCAAACGCTTTTTTTTTTCGTCGAAGGCTCTCCCAACTCGCTCTTCTTCATAAAATATATTATGACAATCCACAGATAAAAATGGACCTTCTCTGTGCTCAGATCGAATTTCCGCGAGAGGTGCAAATGTGTGCAAAATCCAATTCATCCGGACTGCATCCTTGTTTTTCGTAAATTTCATGCTTCCTCTTGCCATTTATGATTGGAATTAATTACCCAACGACATTGTAATAGAAATTAACACATATATATTTTGTGAACTGTCTGTGTCTTCTTCGATCAAATGAATGAGTTATATGTTTGCATAGTGATTTGTTAACTTGTTATCACCATTTTAACTATTGCACTATGTTATTTTGCTGTTGTTTTTTGTGATTTTTACATTTGTCACTAAAAAAGAGTGTCTTCTTACTTACCCTCCCTTGTGTAATACCCGGACACGGGTCCTCAATGTAAATAAATGAAATGAAATGAAATAAAACATCTGCAAACCTCTGCCTTTTATCCCAACTGAGCATTGCTGGGGACCGAATATGAGAGTTTAAAAGGACCGTGCCATGGATATAGGGCAGGAATATTGGCACATCGATAGTTTAGTCCAATGTTCAGTACGAAAAACTTTACATTGCAAGGTAAAAAAAAAATTTTTTCGTCTAATGCTCGTAAAAATATTAAGCGCTGCGAAAACTTAGTCATCTGCGTTAAGTCCTTATTTTGAACCCTTTTTGTTCACGTTCGCCCATTAAAAAGCACGACGAAAGTACCGAAGTGCACACCTGGCCTCTGTACCCTTCCGTATTTGTACGTAGTCTGTCCTGTCCATCTGCTATGGTCAACGTCAGCATGGCAACGAAGCGACATTTTTAGAGGATTCTTGCACAAGACCATGATACAACGCTACTTTATGTTCGACATTCGTCGCTGTTCTGCTATCATTTGTGTGCTTTCGGGCTGTGTTCGCGATGTAACGTATCTGGTCACTTGAGGTTTAAAATGGTCAGTGGCGCCGTGATAATTGTTCCAGTCGGAAATATCGACGAATGTCGCCCACTGTTACTCCGAAAATTATAAAAGGGAGCAACGAGGGGAGAAGGTGACCGTCTATTCTGAAAACCAGGTCAGCTTTTCATGCGGGAAGGATCCACTTCGAAGAAAGTGCCAATGGCATCCTCTTCTGAGTCAGCAAGGCGCGCCTAGCTGGGCTTTGCTTGTGGGCG